AAAAAAATGTACCACTTCATGTGGATTAGGACTTTAAACACATTGCTATGTCTCCATGTACAAAACTGTTATGCACACTTACATATTAATTTGGTAAATTGTGTCACATCTATCAACTCATGGGTCTGTGTTCAACGTATTTAATCCAGTAGGTGGTGATGTTGCCCTGGTTCCTCAAAAATCTGTTAGAAAGAAATTAAAAAGCAAAAAGGAAATTAACACACTAGTTAGGCTGCAAACAGTCTCTTCACCCGTATGCAGCCATGATGTTGTGTGCTGCTGTGGCTCCCAGACTCTGGAACTCTCTTCCCCTCAGCCTGAGATCAGTGGATTCAGTGGTCTCCTTTAAAAAGCAGCTGAAACTCACCCGTTCAGTCTGGCTTTTTCACCACCCTCTCCTTGTTCTGCTCTTTTCTACCTATCCCAACTTACATTTTCTTTTCTTTCTTTCTTTCTTTCTTTCTTTCTTTCTTTCTTTCTTTCTTTCTTTCTTTCTTTCTTTCTTTCTCTCTTTCTTTCTTTCTCTCTTTCTCTCTTTCTCTCTTTCTTTCTTTCTCTCTAGCTATCTCTCTATCTCTCTTTCTATCTCTCTTTCTATCTATCTCTCTATCTCTCTTTCTATCTCTATCTCTCCAATTCAGGGTCAAATAAAAATCACTCAAGATGCGGCTGACCCACAGGGTGCATTTCTATTGAAGACTCTGTTTGTTTACACGGAGGGGGTGGGATTTGAAACATAAACTCAAAAAGCCACTGATGGGTGCTCCATTGATTTTGATTTAAACCCCTGGGTTTTATTAGGATGTTTAGTCAATTTGAATATAAGTGTCAAAGGGACAAAGAGTTGATAATGGTAAAACTCGCAGACTGATATTTCCTCCAAAAGCTTTAAACAAATCAACAAAAACCTAGACAGGATTTTTTTCTTTATTTTGTGCTTGTAGCTATATTTGTGATCTTTTTTAACCATCTTCATCATTTTAAAAGGTGTAAATCATCTTTAAACATTTCCTCTTTCTGTATTTTCATTGGTTCATTATCTTCTATCATACACACGTCTCAGTCATGGAAAATGTGACTTATGCAGGTTGTCCTGTCATGGCGTAAACATCTGAGTTCATTTGCCTTACTCAGCATTGCATGTTCTACCACACAATGCTGTAGTGTTGATGCAGGAAATTTGATATGTTTGCAGCTATATAGGCTTCCTCATTCAATCCAATCCAGAGGTCATGCAGATGGTTTTACCAGTAAAAATGTGTGCTGTATAGAAGAGAATATACAGTAACAAAAAGGGAAATTTTTAAAAGAAGGCTATGATTTCAAGATTGACACCATCAAGTGATTTTGAAAGCAGTTTTTTGTTGTGCAACTGGCTACAGACCTGCAACCCAGTCTTTGCTTAAGAGGTGATGTGTGAAACCGCCTGCAGGAAGAGGAAGCTAGCAATAGGGAACGAAGGGCAGTTGATTAAAGGCAGCAACTTCAATAATGTAAATGTAATTACTTTCAGTGGTGCTCACACTTGCTTAGCTCCTAACTGCATTAACTCTGGAGTGGTAAGGAAAGAAAAAAGGACTGGACAAACCAGAGAGGCTCATGGCGGAAAACGGAGGTAGGGGATGCATTTAAATGTTCAAAAACCAAAGTGAAGTCACAAGGTGTTTTAGATAGTGAAAAAAGAAACAGGACTGGAATGTGTAATCACTTAGAGGAGGATTATTGCAGGATGATGGAAGGAAAGGTTAGGATTAGTAATTTTGGGTTACTTGTGAAAAGTAGAGCTGAAGTTGTTGTCATGGCTACTCTGCTTTCTTATGTTGAAGCAACAGCTGTGTTTTAAGATGAAGAGATGATTATGTACACAGACAAGATGTTCATCAGCAACATAAACCTGCAAACACAGTAGAGAAAAACTTTAATTAGCTTGATTTAGTGAAGATGTCAATAGTAGAAGTGGTTTTATTCATTCAGATGCTGTAAGGATGATGGGAATAAAAAAATACGATACTAAGAGATAATGCTAGGGCACAATGTGGTTCTGATCTGCTCAGTCTGAAAAACAACCAAACCTTTTATTTTTCCTTTGCTAAACAATTTCCTCCACATCCCTTTTTCCTCCTCATCTTCTCCGTCTTCCTCCCTCATTCTATCATCTGCAGGGTAGTTTGCCACATCAGCTGTTCTCCGTCCACACTAAAATGACCCCACAAGGAAACATAATCCTACACGCGTTCATGTGTTTGGGTGCACACAAAACGCCAACACGCTGATCTTGCACAGATTGTATTCTGCAAGCTCAACCAACGAATACTGCTAGCTCCTTTGATTTTGATCAGCTTCTGTTATTATCGCTATATTCTCCAGAAAATAAATATGGCTTAAGCATATACAATATGTTTGTCTTAATTTGGCGTTAGCCCGAGGCGTTAGCCCGAAACCAGTGTTGTTGCAAAAGTTCTCTTTGGACCCTCTTTGAATTGGAAATAGTGAGTTGAAGATTTCAGATGCTCTATTGGATCAGTGCTTTTGGAGCGTGTAGGCCATCTTGTAAATTAAAGTTAAAAGAAAGTACAAAAGGAGTATTGGGTTAGTAGAAGCCAGATTAACGCATAATGGGTACATTTTACGTCTGTTTTTAGCAGAGGTGGACGATGTTCCAAAAATGTACTTTTCACAGAATGCATGTCTATTACCAACGTCATTTAGCCCATGCCAAAAGATGTTGGTATTTTAAGAAAAAATAAAAAGATGTGTGTACATTGCTGATATTCATATCCCTGTAACATGTTTTGGTATGAACTGGATGGAAGTGGGTAGAGTCACGTGGCATGTAGAAGATGTGGGCGGGGCAATGGGTAGCGGCTGGTGGTTTGGTTGCAGCAGCACCAAATACAGAATTTTTCCTAATGGTTATTTAAGGATTTTAGGCTTCTCATCAACAAAATCTGCCACCACTCCTTCTACCTGTAGCTGTACATGTACTTATCCATTTATTGTTATCGAGGTGAAATGCTCATTATACAGTATAATGATACTGATTTGAAGCCATATCAACAGCCCTACTTTCCAATCAATCAAACACATGTATATTCTTCAGAAGATCCAACCACCTGCAATTTTAACAATGCCCAGGTTCCTGCCTTGAATATCACAGTTCATTTAAGCCATTGAAGGTCATGCCATGCTGGCAGATGATATGGTGTAATGGGTCATAGCCTAGACATGACTTCAGTGTGTCCATTCCTGTACCACATTCTCATTAAATAGTCAATGCTGGTGATCATGGTTCCAGATTCATAAATATGCAACCACCACATTTCCCCTTCTCTGATAACTAATAAACTGCCACTGATATAACCAACCACCACAACTGCACTACAGGCATTTTTGGGCCAATTACAATTATTCTGATTCTAATTATACTTATTTAAACGGGGCAATTTCAGTCTGAGTTTTATCTTTTTTTATTCACTCAATGTTTTAGACAAAAATTTCTTTTTTCTTCCACTGGTAGCTTTTTAATCACCTTTTTGTTATTTGAAGTCAAAAAGTCATGTTTTTTTCATGCCAGTTCCAGTCAGGTGGCCTTTTTCTTTATTTATGGCTTTTAAAGATGGACCAGACTTCACAAAAGGTGTGAAATTGCCCCTCAGTAAACAACCTGACATCTGTTGTGGCAGCTGAAGCTTCATGAAAATTCATTCACAAACTGAAAATTGGAAATTTTCAACCTTTACAATGGGCACTGTGAAACACTGACCCTCAGGGCCAAGTGGCTGCAAAGCATCCCTCTGAAACAAATATGAGCTTTATCAAAAAAGACCAGTTTCACGGCTTGTTGAACAAGTTATTTACCCATAATTATAAACTAACAACACTCTCCATGGCTGGTTGGTGGGTCTGAGGGCCATATTATGTAAGAGCATGTTTATTCTACAACAGAAAGAGTCTGAGTTACTCATCCATGTACATAGTTAACTATTTAATTTATGATGCAAAAGACCAAATCTGGTTATGGACATTTAGATGAGTTTGGGCCCATCTCACTGTCAATTATGCATCTTTGGCATAAAATTTGTTTGATTTACTTGAATCAGTCACATATAGAATTTATTATATTGTTATATTTTAGTTGTGCACATTTAAAAGTATATCCCAACCTTAAGTGAAATTGCATCCATTGTCATATTCCCAACAATTGCATAAAAGGGAAAGAGCGTTTTGTAACCTACCCAGTCCTTCTCCTAATCTGGCAGTATTCGGATAGATTTAGCTTTGCATGGTAACAGCTAGCATCATTAAAATTCAAAAAGACAACTACTTTTGTAAACACAAATATGTGGCTACTAGCCTTATACCCAGTGCTGGATTTTGAAGTAACAGTTTAGTAAGTTGCAATAAAATTGGCATAGTACATGAAAGGCGAAGCAGTTATCTGCATCATGTCCTTGAGCTTTGCAGCAGTGGCTTACAGCGATTCTTTGGCACAATGTAGCTCCAAGTCCAAATCAGCTCCTGGAGTTCCTTTGCGTTATTATTTTCATTTGCAATCGAACTGATTATGGAGATCACCAAGAAAAATTTGGATGATTATTGAGTAGTTTTCATGACTATTTGCAACTTAATTGCTAGCTGTTACCATTCACTTACATTGTCTATGCTAAGCTACAAGTAACAGAATATTTGCCAGATTAGGAGAAAGATTGCACTGATTACAAAATGCTCTTTACCACTTTACCACTAACTCTGGGAAATATGACTGCATTTAATTAAGGGGTGAAATAAACCTTTAAAGCCTTACAATTTTACCGGGTGAATGTGGCATAAACTGAGTATGATATTCCAGCTAAGTAAAAAATGTGCCTAATTAATTATTTGAAAGGTTTAAACAAACAAAATAAAAGTCCCTAAAGAAACGCAGTATTTACAGTTGTTCCACTGTTTTAGATAGAGCTTTAGTCCACATTGACTCACTTGGATTTTTCTCCTCTCCTCAGGACAACTATACATTTGCTCAGCCTGGCATTCAGAGGAAAGTCAAGGCCCTGGAGGAGCTGGTCAGCAGGATTGATGGTGAGTTATCGCTTCTGTCATCGTCCATCCATCCACCCACCCACCCACCAAGCCATCCATTCATCTGTCCATCCATTTACAGTAGTTCCTTTTTCGTCTCAAAATTTGGTTGTCTTTTTTTAAAATCAATTCTCCATGAATATTTACTTGGCAGATACTAAAATGAATGTTTTCCACAATCTGTACAGGGATTAATTATACAAACAAATCCAAGCAAGTAAAATCAAACCAAAACAAAACACTGAGAGGGGTGCCCAGAGGTAGTTGAGGCAGCATCCCTCCGCCTAATTGAAACAACCCACTGGTCAAGAAGGCAAGCAAAATATTTAGTTTTTAATGGTTTAGTTGGCTTCAATCAAGTACCCCACAGAAAGTGACCAGAGGCTTTGGATCTAAACGAGGGTGATGTGGAAGTCCCTGATCCAGAATGTGTGGCATCTGGGACATAAAAGAAAATACTTCACTTGTTTTTACATTTGTCAGCATATGAGTTTATTTCAGAGAATGATGATAGGCACATAGAGGAACTGAACTGACACTTTTGTCTGGAGATGAAAGCTTAAATCCACTTCCCACAATGCCCCAGGACTGCCAATCTTGTATTCACAGTTTTATTGCATTTATTACAGAACATAAGATTGAAAATGCACTTTAAATCAACTCTTGTCAGCCTTAATTTTCTTATATATGTACACACACACACACACACACACACACACACACACACACACACACACACACACACACACACACACCAACAAAAACAACAACTTTAAATAAATTATCCTGTATCTCTGATTTTATTTCTATCCTCAGCCATTGCAAGTCTTGACTTCAGTTTTAACATTTGAATGAGCAACTTAAAATATCAACTCTATTGTGACAGGTCACACTGGATTATTTTCCAACTCAGTAACACACTTAAATGTTTTTAATTCCCAAATGTGCTTTTGCTCTAGTGTCTCATTGACACAGTGTTGTGTTTTTATTAATCCTGCTCTAAGGAGCCTCCATATGCGTTCATACAGGATGCAATGTGCAAAACAAGCTCTTATCACAGCAGGCTTTTGTTGAGCGGTCGTGTTCTCGGCTAACCTTGATGCCGTCCCACTCTCCTGTCACCTGCTCTGTCAGCCAGAGGGTGAGCAGAATTCACCCGCTGCATTTAAATGGACGGGAGGGGATGTAAGTGTGTGTTTGTGCGTGCACAAGAGTAAATGTCGATGAAAGTTAGTGACTATATGCAAGCCTGTCTGACACATATGCACCGCTGCCCTGACATTTTTTAGACAATACCCGCAGGGGCTGTGTGTCCAAATCAGTCGGAGACGACACATGTGGACTTTAGACTGCCAGGTCTCTCAAAAAGCAGGTATTGTCTGTGATGGAATGATAACATGCACAACACGTATATTGCAAAGAACAGAAAAAATGCAATGAATGTTCAGCTCAAATCTTTGCATGAAGTTTTCGACAAATCAAATGAAACTCTTCACCCATTTGGCCAACCGGGTGGTTTCTTATGAGTTAGATGCCACCCCCATAGGGTAGCAAAGACCTTTTTTAGCTTAGTTCCGATTCTGCTTTTCCCGGCATCCACTGATTGCCTTTTCTTGTTCATTTTCTTTTTTCCTTTCCTCGCATCTTTTGATCACAACTTTTGCTTTTCCCATTGTTTATGATATGTTTTAGTCATTTATAATTTAAAAAAATGTCTTTGTTTAAATTTTTTGTTAGTGAGTTAAGTATTGTAATATAATAAGTCATATCGTCATCACAATATTAATCACAGTTATCGCACTTTGCAGGTTTTCCTAATATCATGCAGCCCAAATTTGAAGCTTGGTCTTCATTGATTTTGTTGTCACTTTTCTATCTAATTTTTATTTTTGTCCCAAAAGAGTGAGTCAGCATCAACATTTCAAAAGTGAATAATTGAATGTACTTTAGGATCTAACAAAAAGGACAGAATTGCAGCAAACTTGATTCAAAACACCAGAAGATAAAAGGCAATGTCACATTCTTCTAAATACTTTTCACATCTTGCTCAGTTTATTCACAAAAACAAGTCCATTAAACCCGGTACCAAGTTCAAATCCATAAAGCACTGATTTCAAGGCAAAGGCAACAACAGACTCCAAGTTGGTCCACCTCATCTGCACTCCACGACACACCCGCATCGACATAAAAAATGATCCAACGTTTTTACTGTATCTTCTTCCATAAGTGCCCTGTCATCATGACTGGGGCAGACATTTTATACCTCGCTAGCTTGACATTACCAGCTCTAATGAGATCACAGATACCTCTTATCTTGTGTTACAGGATTGTTTTTCGCTTTGCTGTCGACACAGCATCTGTTCTGAGAACAATAGCCTCTCATATCTCCCAAAATTACCCATCAGCACTTATCAGATGTGGGGTTATCCAGAGCGTTGTGTGTTGTGATAAAAACTGAGGATGCCTCTTCTAATAGCTGCTGGGCCAATATTTGACTGTAGCTCTTTGGTATGAATCTTAAATTAGGGTATATAATTATTTGCATTTACTTTTTATATTTATAACTTTTTTGAGTTATCCTGTCAATTACATTTACAGAGTTTATATTTAATGGTTATCTCATTCATTTGTGAATCTGTTTAGTACTCTTAACTGCTTGTAAGACAAATAATTGTGGCCCATTAAATATAAAAATGACCTTCTCAAAATAATATAAACGTGTAAATAAATCTACAGAAAAGAAAGAGTTGCTCATGAGCCACAATCTATTTTCTATTCACTTTTGTTTTCACGTTGCAGGTACTGTGGCCATTTAAAGTTCTTATGTCTGCTTCTATCAGCTCATTTGTAGCTCCTGTTTAAGAGAAGCAGTTTTTGTAGCTCGGTAGGAAGTCACGAACGTCAAAGGAGGGCCTCATTGGTCCAAAAACATCAGACAAGCTAAAGTTAATTCCATCAGCATCTGTGCTGTAAACAGCAGCTCCTACTCTGGAGAATTACCCCAACTTCACACTGGAAGCATCAGCAGCGTGGAACGGCAGCGGAACGTTGCTGCTTCAAATTGAATCCATTATAGACTATGGACTGCGATGGACTGGCAATCTGTCCAGGGTGAACCCCACCTTTATGCCCATAGACTACTGGAGATAGACACCAGCCCCCCACGACCCTGCATGGACAAGTAGGTACAGACAATGGAAGGTTGGATATAGTCTGTGGGTTGATTCAAACCGGCCGCGACATGTAAAATCTTTGGCGCGTCCCAAAAACAGCTTGTTGTGCCGTGCCGCTAAAGATAGGATTTGTTTATATATTTTTTATTTTTTTGCTGTGAGCCACTCCTGGGAAACGTCAATTCATATACTGTTTCAGTGTAAAACATCTGGTAATTTTCAATGTAAAACTATTGCAGCGATGAAATTTCATATTTATGTAGACTACGTCTACACACTTAAGTGCTGGTACTGCTGTAACAAGTGAGTTTTCCCCACTGTGGTATCAGTAAAGTCTATTCTATTCTATCTCATGGCTTTATTTACTACAGATTTTTTAGAGAAATGCAGCGGTGTGTTTTTCGTGGCTTTAATCCCGGCAGCGGTGATGTATAACTTCAAACAGTGATATCAAATGTGATTTCCTTCATTTTTTGGTTTAATGGTGGGTGGCATTAGCAAAGTGTGACCTTTGAAGTCTTGAGGGATTTTGAGATCTTGTGACCAGTGACGGCTGGTGTGTTTATTTATTTTTGGGTAGGGTGCAACTTAACAGGTGTTGTGCCAAAAAGAGCGTACCAGCCGAGATTTGCATAACCTATGAGAAGGTGCATACAAATAGCCTAACAAGGTTTTTTAATAAATTTGTACTATTAACATGTTTCTTATCCATTAGCTTCCTTAAAAAATGATGGTTTATGGGCAGATAAATAAAAAAACTGACTGTTTATTGGAGGAACATTAGTCTTTATACATTTGTTATTTCGAGTCACATTCCTGTTTTTTTTTAAACCCACATGAAAATTCAAGCAGGCAGAAAAAAATATATAAAAATCTTCAATAAACAGTAGTCTCCAACGTGTTTAAATAAAACTTGTTAAAATGTAAATGTTAAATCATTATTTCATTATATTTCTAGTCAAAAACAAAAGGTTTTTCAGGAGAAACACAGAAAAGTTTTGACATTCTGAATGTATTAAAAATAGCCTCATCATGCAGCATTAAAGCTGACTTTAAGTGCAGTAAAAAGCAAAACAATCACAGACAGTACAGCTAAAAAGAACTAAAAATGAAACCAAACAGGCAGTTAAAACCATAAAATACACAACTGTAGAATTAGGCAATCAAAGTTGGACGAGTAATGCAGAAACATTCTCACACCTTTGCTGACTTTGGTTTGCTTTAATACAGAATTTTTGGAATTAGACCAGACTTGCCTGATCAACGGCATTCAGTTCTGGTAGCTGCCTGTCTGGGACGCTGTTGCTGCAAACGAGTGCCGATGAAGGAAAACAAGACATGAAGAAAAATAAAGCCCATCTCATCATTTAGCCAAACACTTTCTCTACCCCCTAAGCTACATTTTTGTCACAAACATCATTCTTTGTTTGAATGTTTTAAAATGTTATTCCATTGACTGGTCCAAACCACGTACCACCATCTTCCATCTAAACAACATAAAAACGTAATAGTTTCTTTAGGTAGCAACGAGCATACCTTCTTCTCCTCCTCACTGCTCCAAGTCTCTCCAGAAGACATATGTTCCAACTTTCTCTGCTAATGATCTTTGCTTCTTTGGACTTGAGCTGTAAGCTTTGTTTTGTTTGGAAAAAAAGTGCATTCTGCTTATGTCACTCCCGGTTCTCTTGATACGAGTCACACTGAGCATATTGCACAGGGCTTATGCTACTACTTGTAGCTAAATGGGAATATAAAGAAATTACTGCTTATCCAAACAATAATTGCATCATTTCATCAAATTTGTATATTTGAAAGAGTTTCAAACTT